CTTCGGCAAAACCGAGGCTCAACAGCGACGCTAAGCTACCAGACTAATTTGAGGGAGTTTCTGTGGAACTCACGTCATCCTCACCCCCGGCGCGAAGAGCACGAGTCCAGAGCGGCATCCGGTACCGTTTCCGGACGGATCCGCTGGATCCGGTGACGAATCCCAAACCGGCGCCCTCGCTTGAGACATCCTCGCAAAACCGGCCCCGGGGGAGGTGCCCAGAGGAGCCCAGAGCGGCCTCCGGTACCGTTTCCGGACGGATCCGCTGGATCCGGTGACGAATCCCAAACCGGCGCCCTCGCTTGAGACATCCTCGCGAAACCGGCCCCGGGGGAGGTGCCCAGAGGAGCCCAGAGCGGCCTCCGGTACCGTTTCCGGACGGATCCGCTGGATCCGGTGACGAATCCCAAACCGGCGCCCTCGCTTGAGACATCCTCGCAAAACCGGCCCTGGGGGAGGTGCCCAGAGGAGCCCAGAGCGGTCTCCGGCACCGTTTCCGGACGGATCCGCTGGATCCGCCGACGAATCCCAAACCGGCGCCCTCGCTTGAGACATCCTCGCAAAACCGGCCCCGGGGGAGGTGCCCAGAGGAAAAAAAAGAAAAAAAAGAAAAGACAAAAAAGAAAGACAAAGGAGAATGAAAAAGAAAAAAAATAGAAAAAAAAAAAAAAAAGGAATTAGTAAAAAAAAGAAAGAAAGAAAGAAAAAAAAAAAGAAAGAAAAAAAAAAAACAAAACAGAAAAAAAAAAAAACTAAAAAAAAAAGAAAAAAAAAAAAGTGAAGAAAAAACAAGAAAAAATAAAAAAAAGAGAAAAAAGGAAAAAAAAGTAAAAATATGAAAAGAAGAAAAAAAAAGAAAAAAAAAAAAAATGAAAAAAAAAAAAAAGAGAAAGCAAAAAGAAAAAAAAAAAAAGGAAAAAGGAAAAGGAGAAAAGAAAAAAAAAAAAGAAAAAGCCCAGTTAGCGCCTCCGCACACCGTTTCCGGACGGATCCGCTGGATCCGGTGACGAATCCCAAACCGGCGCCCTCGCTTGAGACATCCTCACAAAACCGGCCCCGGGGGAGGTGCCCAGAGGAGCCCAGAGCGGCCTCCGGTACCGTTTCCGGACAGATCCGCTGGATCCGCTGGATCCGCTGGATCCGGTGACGAATCCCAAACCGGCGCCCTCGCTTGAGACATCCTCACAAAACCGGCCCCGGGGGAGGTGCCCAGAGGACCCCAGAGCGGCCTCCGGCACCGTTTCCGGACAGATCCGGTGGATCCGCTGGATCCGGTGACGAATCCCAAACCGGCGCCCTCGCTTGAGACATCCTCACGAAACCGGCCCCGGGGGAGGTGCCCAGAGGAGCCCAGAGCGGCCTCCGGCACCGTTTCCGGACAGATTCGCCTGATCGCGGTGACGAATCCAACCGCGCCCTCGCTTGAGATCATCCTCGAGAGCCTGCACAAACCGCCCCGGGGAGGGGGGAGGTGCCCAGAGGAGCCCAGAGCGGCCTCCGGTACCGTTTCCGGACAGATCCGCTGGATCCGCTGGATCCGCTGGATCCGGTGACGAATCCCAAACCGGCGCCCTCGCTTGAGACATCCTCACAAAACCGGCCCCGGGGGAGGTGCCCAGAGGACCCCAGAGCGGCCTCCGGCACCGTTTCCGGACAGATCCGGTGGATCCGCTGGATCCGACGAATCCCAAACCGGCGCCCTCGCTTGAGACATCCTCACAAACCGGCCCCGGGGGAGGTGCCCAGAGGAGCCCAGAGCGGCCTCCGGCACCGTTTCCGGACAGATCCGGTGGATCCGCTGGATCCGCTGGATCCGGTGACGAATCCCAAACCGGCGCCCTCGCTTGAGACATCCTCACAAAACCGGCCCCGGGGGAGGTGCCCAGAGGAGCCCAGAGCGGCCTCCGGCACCGTTTCCGGACAGATCCGGTGGATCCGGTGGATCCGCCGACGAATCCCAAACCGGCGCCCTCGCTTGAGACATCCTCACAAAACCGGCCCCGGGGGAGGTGCCCAGAGGAGCCCAGAGCGGCCTCCGGCACCGTTTCCGGACAGATCCGCTGGATCCGGTGGATCCGCCGACGAATCCCAAACCGGCGCCCTCGCTTGAGACATCCTCACAAAACCGGCCCCGGGGGAGGTGCCCAGAGGAGCCCAGAGCGGCCTCCGGCACCGTTTCCGGACAGATCCGGTGGATCCGCTGGATCCGGTGACGAATCCCAAACCGGCGCCCTCGCTTGAGACATCCTCACAAAACCGGCCCCGGGGGAGGTGCCCAGAGGAGCCCAGAGCGGCCTCCGGCACCGTTTCCGGACAGATCCGGTGGATCTGGTCCGGATCCGCCGACGAATCCCAAACCGGCGCCCTCGCTTGAGACATCCTCACAAAACCGGCCCCGGGGGAGGTGCCCAGAGGAGCCCAGAGCGGCCTCCGGCACCGTTTCCGGACAGATCCGGTGGATCCGCTGGATCCGCTGGATCCGGTGACGAATCCCAAACCGGCGCCCTCGCTTGAGACATCCTCACAAAACCGGCCCCGGGGGAGGTGCCCAGAGGAGCCCAGAGCGGCCTCCGGCACCGTTTCCGGACAGATCCGCTGGATCCGGTGGATCCGCCGACGAATCCCAAACCGGCGCCCTCGCTTGAGACATCCTCACAAAACCGGCCCCGGGGGAGGTGCCCAGAGGAGCCCAGAGCGGCCTCCGGCACCGTTTCCGGACAGATCCGGACAGATCCGGTGGATCCGCGCCCCGGGGGAGGTGCCCAGAGGAGGAATGAGGAGGAGGAGGAGGAGGAGGAGGAGGAGGAGGAGGAGGAGGAGGAGATGATGGAGCTGTGGGGTGGAGGAGGACAGACGGAGGCAAGAGAAGGATGGAGGAGGAGGAGGAGGAGGAGGAGGAGGAGGAGGAGGAGGAGGAGGAGGAGAAACCTCATCCTCGCCCTCGCCAACAGGCGCACGCACCTTCTTCTATATACAGAAACTCCCGATCAACCGCAGAGCGGCCGGCTAGTACGGACTACATTCAGATTCTGTGGAGTTCAAGGTCTTCAAGAGGACTTCAAGATCGCTGTCGGAGCTAGAGAGCTGCTAGGCCGACAAGAGCAACCAGCCGTCGTTCAGATGGAGATGGCAGCTGGATGTAAGCATCTACGTGACCAGATGAGAGTTTCACCATATGAGTCCGAGGGTCGTGGCACGGCCCAGAGTAGTGCAGTCAAGGAGGAGGAGGAGCGCTTTGTGAAGATCGAGAGAGCTCATCTACCAGACGCCGACAAAGCATGCAAGGAGGCGATCGAGATGGCAACGATATCGGTGACCAAGGACCGCTCGAACTACCCACACCGGCGCGACGCGCTGCTCCGCATCATGCGTGACTCCTTCGGCCTCGAGCTGACCGCCATGGAGACAGACAGTCAGGCCAGCAAGCGCGTGGCGCTGGCCCGAGTGCAGTAGTCGGGAGACTTCCACCCCAGGAGCTGTACCGACCCGCCACAGGCAACGAGAATGTTGAGTGAATGTGGATCCTAAGTGTATTGCCTGAGGCTCTGGGAGTGAGATAGGTGAGGGGTGCCCTGGTACGTGCGTGCTCTGTGCTCGCGATTGCGGTTCTGGTTCAGATCAAGCTTAGAAGCCTATCAGGAGGCTCGCCCGCGGGGTCAGTGCGAGTGGAAAAGGGATAGGCTCAGGGAGAAGATCGGTCCAGGGCGTGCTCAAGTTCAGCGTTGGCACGAGCAGGGGGGGGGAGAGGGCTCCAGATACCCAAAGAAGGGATCATCCTCCCCTCAAGGAGGGGGAGGAAAGCACGACCGCTGGCGTCGGCCACGACGACCACCACCACGGTAACGGCGACGGCACCACCAATACGTACACTCCCTCCCTCTCTCCCTCCCTCCATCTCCCTGCTCCTGCACCAGCCCATCCTTCTCCTGCTGCTGCTCCTCCTAATGCTTATCCGTATCCGGCCCGCGGTGACGACGAACACCACGACGACAGCGACGTCCGCTGGAGACGGCCTGCTCCATCTCGGTCAGCCCAGGGGTCCCCGCGGAAATCTCAGGAGGTCCCCGGAGGCCCCGGGAGGTCGCCGCGGACTTCTGTGATCCCACGGGGCCCCTGGAGGTCCGTGGAGGCCCCTGGATGCTGCAACGTTTGGCAACACAAAATCGCTACTGCGCTTGACCAGATCTGCGTGGCCCTTTGCCTCCCCTCCTCCTTCTTCCTTCCGCAGGAGGGCGAAAACGGCTTCGCCCTGTGCCCTGTGACCCCCCGACTTCGCCCCAGATTCAGGATCGGCCGTGGGCGAGGGGGCAGCGCAGGCGCAGCGGGACAGAACGCGCGGACGTGGCAGGGCTCGTTCGAGCCTGAAGCCGACTTTGAGCGCGAAGGGTGTCCACTCCTTCTGCCCCCTGACCGTCTGTGGAGAGACACACATATTTGGAAAGCGCACACACGTACACACACAAACACACCTACACACACACGCACACACGCACCTACACCTACATCTACACACACGCACACACACACGCACACGCACACACACATGCACATGCACACGCACACGCACACCTACACGCGCACACACACACATACACCGATACACACACAAATACACAAACAAACAAACATATACACACACGCACGCACCCACACACACACACACACACACACGCGCGCACGCACACACGCACGCACGCACACACGCACGCACACACAGCTCATTTGGAACAAAAAAACCCAAACACCACACTTACCCTCTGTGTGTTTTTGAATGTGTGTGCGTGTGCGTGTGTGTGTGTGTGCTTGTAAGTGTGCGTGTGTGTGTGTGTGTTTGTGTTTGTTTGTGTTGTGTGTTGTGTGTGTTGTGTGGTGTGTGTTGTGTGGTGTGCGTGTTGTGTGTGTGTGTTGTGTGTTGTGTGTGTGTTGTGTTGTGTGTGCTGTGTGTGTGCTGTGCGTGTGCTGTGTGTGCTGTGAGTGTGTCGCCTTTCCTCCCTGTCGGCCTGCTCCATCTCAATCAGCAGCTGCCTGGGGACTCCGCTGCGCCCCTGCAGCTCCGAGCGCTCGGCCTGCGGCGGCGGGTCGCGGCGGGCGCCCGCGGCCACCACCGTCGTCGCCGCCGATGCCCCCGCCGTCGACGCCCCCAACGCCGTCGTCGCCGCCGCCGTCGCTACCGTAGTCAGCGCAAGGCGGAGGAAGAGAAAACGGGTAGATGGATGGGGAAGAGGAGAACAAGGAAAAGGAGGAGGGAAAACAAAAAGGAGGAGAAGGAAAAAGAGGACCACTATAAACCCAATTCATTGCGGGAAGCGGCCCATTAGAAAACAACCGTCTGACAAAAACTCAATGGTGTCAAAACATCATTCGTGGGAGATCAACGTCGCGGATCAACGTTACTTTTGCGTCCTGACACTCTTAAGCCGTGTCAAAAAAATAACTGGGACTCCATCGCCGCGAATGCACGCGATGGCTGCTTCCTGACAGTCCTAAACCGTACCACAGCTTCGCTCCTGGAGCTTCAACCATAAGAGCCCTTACTCTGCTGTAAACTTGCAAGACGAATAAGCGCGGCGCTACAACGAGAACCGCATTGAGCAAGTTGTGGTATGTTATAACGGATGTGAGCGGCCCTGAAGCGATAACCCTGTTTTAAAAGGACCCGTCCTCCATCGTTGAAGCTGTCGCAAGTTTTAAAACGAATGTGTGCGGCGCGATGGTGAATGCCACACGTTGAAGGGGACCCGCCCTCCACGCGCGAAACTGTTGCAAATGTCAAACTTCCAGACCATCAATGATGAAGGCATCTCACGCCAAGCCCGCCCTACCGACACGTCTGGGGGTGCGACAGGGATACGTAATCGATGAAGGAAAAGGGATGGAGGAGGAGGAGGAGGAGAAGGAAAAGAAGGAGGAGGAAGAGAAGGAAAAGGAGGACGAGGAACCGATCGTGGGGACGCGAATCTGGTCGCCCTCCGGCCGACGCGGCCGCTGCGCCTGACGCCAGCTCAGCCCGTGCTCACAGGCGCCCCCTCGAAGGTATGTTGATTCCAATGGCCCAGCGGGGCTGGGGCGGGAGGTCGGCTCACGCGTGGCGGGGCGCGCATGGAGCGCGAGGAGCGCAAACCCGCCTTCGCAACGGCTCCGCCTCCACGGCCTCCACCGAGACCTTCGCCCGCAGGGGGTGGTAGACCGCCGAGCCGATCAAGATCTGCTCGGCAACCTCGTTCATCGCGTCCGCGATGCCCAGCCGCGCCAGCGGACAAGCGGGGGCTGCCGCGCCGGAAGCGCGAGCAATCGCCCAGGCCATGCGCTCGCACTGGAGGTAGTGCGCGAGGCTGTCGCTGCAGCCCTCGCAATCGAGAGTGCAATTCTTCTTCCCCATCTCATTGATGACCCTGTGGGACGCCAGCCAGGATAACGAGAGCGCCCGTATCCAGGCGGTCGCCCACGACAGAGACAGCTCCTTCATCGTCTTCTTGATCTCGTCGAAGATGCCGACGTTCAGCACGAGAAAATCGGCGTGCTCTGGAAACTCGAACGCAATCCTCTGGGCCAGGAAGGGGCCGATCGTGTCTGGACTGCGGGCAATCACCGCCGCCTGGTACGCAGTCTTCTGGACCGCCCCCGCTTGGCCATCAGCAAGTGCGGCCTGAGCCGCCACCATCGCCGGCTGCAGGAGCTCCTTGGGGCAGTGGCGGTGCGTTGAGGTAGCCGTCTTCGCCTGGTGCAGCGCCTCGACGAAGGGCCCCATTTTCCACCGCGGTGGCGAGAGATGGTGAGCGCTCCGATAAGCTCCTTCAAGGGTCATCGCACCGCCGCGCTGCTCAAGCCCTTGGCGCAGCCGCTCGCGGATCCCCAGTAACTGCTTGAACGTCGAGGTCGCCGCCCTGACGATCGTGGAGAGGAGCGTCAGCTGGAGGGACCTCGGTGCAGGGGCCCCCCACTGCGGCAGATGCGCCCAGGCAGCCTGAGGCATCCATTCGGGGACCTCGGGACCGAGGAGTTGATCCAGCTGTCGTGCTTGAAGAGCTTGTCAGGCAGCATCGCGCGTCGCCCCAGGCAACCAAGAACTGGCGGCCCCCTGGCATTGGAGAGAGAGAGAGAGAGAGAGAAAAAAAAAAAAAAAAAAAAGAGAGAAAGAGAGAGAGAGAGAGAAACCAAAAGAGAGAGAGAGAGAGAGAGAGAGATAGAGAAGAGAGACAGAGAGAGAGAGAGAGAGACCGCGCCCGTCGCGTGGCCGTCACTTGCACTGACTTGATTGGTCCTCCATTGGAATTAGTGAAAGGCCTTCGCGAAGATGAGCAGCTCTGTAGCACCTGGGCGCATGAGTACACCCAGATACGTCAGACTATCGCACATGTGGAACTCCGGGAAACGTGGCACTAGAACGGCCAGCGTCTCTCGGAGACGCAGCGCGAGCGCCTCATCAACTTCGCCTGCCAGGGAATGGTGTGACACCTGGCATGCTTCAGCGCGACCCCCGCCAGAACCTCCATGAGGACCGCCACGTCAGCGAAGATGGGCAGGCGCTCGATGGCCGCGAGGACGGGCCCCAGGTCGTCTGCACAGGCGCGGCAAGGCCCGTAGCCTTTGCGCTCCAGTGCCTCTTCCAAGTCGAGCAGATAGCAGGCCGCCCCCATAGCATAAAGAGTGCCGCTCCGGCCGCGGCCTCGAATGATGCCAGATCGGACGTAGAAGAGCGGCACATATTTACCAGTACGCGGCACAACAGCCATAAATTTGTGGCACATCGCGCCGAAGAAGAGCAGCACCGCCCACGGCGCAACTGTGGCCTGCAGCGCCAGGCGGGCGAACTCATGCTCGAATCTGGGGAAGGCCCGGGCGACGTCCAGCGGCGCGAGGACGGGCCGCTTCCTCCGCGCGTCGGGGCCCGCCGGCGCGATGCGGCTTTCCGCGTCGAGCTCCAGGACGTTGCGCCCCAAGTCTGGTGGATGAACCCCCCTCTGCGATGCTGGGACACGCTGGGCTGCGACCGTGGCCGTCGCGGCGTTCATCGTGCTGCCAGTGATCTTCAGCGACGTGTTCCTGAGACCCAGGACCCTGACTTTGGATGGATCGCGGCGGCAGCCGAGGCGTTCAGCATCGCCTGGCTCCCCCCCTTTAGGCGGGCACGCTTGGCCCGCCGCGTCGGCTTCATCTGGCAGCGAGCCCCCCCCCCAACATCCAGCACATGACCCCCCGGAGCGTCTCCGTGGTCTTGCAGCGCGAGAGCCATGCCGCGCATGGGGGGCCACGCAGTCCAGGTGAGGTGGTAGAAGTCCGCGTGGCGAGCCTCTGCAGCGTCTCGTAGTCAGGGGGAGCGAAATGGCCGAAGTCGACCTTGGGCGCGAACTCTGTCAGGTAGGTGGTCGCAGCCTAGAGATTCACGTGCCTGCCTTGGAAAACAGGTTGCAAGTGCTCGACGAGCTTCTCGAGCCGCTCGTTGGGCCCCAGCACTGTGGCCTCGCTCGGCTTCACGCCGGCGAGTGCCAGCCGCTTGCAGATCGGGTTCCAGAGTTGCACCTTCCTTTGCAGAGCTTGAGCCTGGGCGCCCGCTTGCGCGGGGCGAAGGCGACCCCTTTGACGGGGAAGCGGTCGCCCCCCGTCGACAGTTAGCATCCTGCCGAAAGTGGCTGCTGGCCCACTCCTCGAACTTGGCGGGGTCAATCAACACCGCCCGGAAATTCATCATGAACGCATGGTCCTTGGCAATGGTACCTGCGCGCAGCAGTCGGGGAGCCGGCGCGAGATCTTGCCACCAGACAGCACGAGCAATGGACTTGGCGAGCCGGAAAAGCACTCCACCTCGGGCAGGGCTCTCCTCCTGAATCTAGTCGCGCGATTCGCGCGCGATCTCTCTCTCTCTCTCTCATCGTGGATGCGCCCCTCAGTGGTCGAGTAGGTGGCGCGAGCCTGTCCAGGCCCTCGCCGTCGAAGATGGCTTCGGCAATCTGCTTGAAGGCGGCGGACTTGAAAATGCAGGGCGCGATCGGCTGGTACTTCTTTGGTTTCTCATCCCTCGCGCAGAGAGAAATAAGCACGGCTGCGTGGTCGCTCACTCGCTGTCGCGAGAGCTCTGCCGGGGCGGAACGTAGTAGATGCGACCGCTAGCTAGCTGGATCATCTGGCTGGGCGGGATCGAGCAGAAGCAGCGGTCGATGGTCGACTCGGCCTTGGCGTCGAAGCAGCAGCGCGCGGCGTCGCCCCACTCGATCTCCACTAGATGTCGAGGCGCAGCATGCCATTTACGCGCAGATGCCTCGGATCTCTCGCTAGCCGCCGTCGCCGATCGGGCCGTTGGCTCGGCGGGCCCCAGCCTGCAAACTGCCGCGAAATTGAAGTCCCCGAGCACGAGGAGGACCACGTTGTCAGAGGAAAACATCGCGCGGATCTGGCCCAGCAATATGCGTGCTGAAATTCTTCGCGTCGCAAAGTTCCCACTCTCATAGTTGTGGATGATGTCAGATATCAGTTGCTGGTCGGCCGCGGCGAATAGCGCGCGCAACGCGCTCCCTGGCAAGACCTCCTCACTCGTCGCACGCAGAACGGGCGGGAAAAATAGTTGCGACTCCCCCGCTGACTTCACTGGGGCGGCCCCGCGCGAAAGTCGGGCGCATGCTAACGGGCTGGCAATCTCCCGCGTGAGTGCCAGCAGCTGAATATGATTCTGATGTACTTGATTGCCAAAGATCATCTTGGCAAGCGGGAGGGAGCGGAGGTAATTCGTCTCCTCAACCACACGTCGGCCACGATATCCAAGGGGAGCTCTCGCAGTCCAAATTCCATCTACAATGCTCGGTGTTGGGCCGACTGCGGGTCGCTGCATACCTTTGGCGATTTCGTCAATGCCAAAAATCTGGAGCAGCAGCGGGCCTGACAACAGGATCCACCGCCTCCACGAGCCCCTCCCGTGTGAGCTCGAGGGTAGCGAAGCCCGTGTCCTGGTACTTGACGATGGCGAGTGAGTCGCGTTCTGGTCGGACCTCATACTGTTGGACAGGTGGCCAGCCAGCCGTGGCCCATGCTTCGGCGCGATCAACTCGCCATGCATGGCTCGGGCATTCCTGTTCGA